CATAACATATGCAAAAGACTAAATCCAAAGCGGGACGCCCTCTAATTGATTACATTGTTCGTTTGGAAACTAATCCCCCAAAGACTTTAAGCCAACTGGAACTTTTCGCAAGCTTTTTTCGCTTTTTTTCGTGTGACTTGACAGTTCGACAGTAGGAACGAATGAAAGTCAGTTTGGCAATGACATTGTTTATTAAACATTTCATATAAATGAGTTTAATTATTATTCTTCGGCTGCCCAGCGAGCGATGATCTCACTCGGATTCGATTGAAAACTGAAAATTTCATTTTTGTTTATTGCATGCATAATAAATGGTCTAGTCTGGAAGCACCGACACATGGTTGCCCAAACCCAGATGTGTTCGGATCACTGGAACAACCCAGAAAAGCGATCAACTTAATTGTGTTAATTTGCAATAGAGAACTTTGGGAGGGAAAATTGTGGTATCGAAACGCTTCCTCAACTGAAATAATTGAGAGAAATTACTGGTGATGGATAAGTACTTTGTCATAATAATTGACACAACTAGGGGATATTATGTTTATTAAGCAAATTCGAAAAAAAAAGCATAAGAAAATATTATAATTAAGCCCTTACTCTAAGTTGTAAAGAAGAAAAATCATATAACGATCTGTATCCCAAAGTAATAAAAAGAGGCCTCAGTAAATCTTACAAAACCACAAATATATTACATCAAATAAAAACATAAACTCATAAATATTAATAAGCAACCATTAAGAAACCATATGGATAAGTGATAAGAAGCCGCAATTGGTCTTATAAAACCCACAAAAAAAAGACCTAAAAGAAACCAAGAATCACACACAAATCAGCATGTTATTATTGCAATTACTATCTCGTTTTCAACTCCGCCCCCTATAAAAAGTTTTTCCCATCTGCCGGCTGCACTTAGATCATCCATCCCCCAACATGCATGCCCATATCTTTTAATTAAAACAAAAGTTTGCTCTCAAACCTCAAAGATATTCGCAGCACGCTAGCCTTTATTTTGACCACAAAACTCCAAACTGCCCAACCCCCTTCATCTACGCCCCTTTCGTTATGAGGCAACCGCAATCTTCAGTCCAAATGTTGCATGCAAATGAAATGAAAGAGCAGTGTAAGAAGGGCAGAGAGCTATGTACTTCACCTACTAAAGTCACAGAATACAGTACACACTCATTAAGTAGTCGGAAAACGTTATCCCATCCCCCGCCCCTTGTGACCCCCTGGAAAACCCCAGCCATGACCATTTTAAAGAGGGGCGTACGAAATTAATAGACTCTCCACTACACTCGCTTAATTATCACAAAGAGACCCAGGCCAACAGCAAAAACACTTTTCAAATGGGCAAGTGTTTTCCATCCCCCCCTTTCCCCATTTTCCGGGTGCGTGTGTCTGCTTTATTAGATGATGATAACTGGCTAATGAGCTGAACTCTGCGGGCAAGCCAAACAACGACACTGTGGCTAAACAGTAGGAATTATTCCAGATTTTATAAGATCATAATTAATTTTTGGTTCTATATTATAAAAGAATTATTATTATATTTTTTATTCTTCAGTTCAGTTTAATTATTAGATTCATTTGGTTTAAATACGTTTTAAACACCTCATTTTTTCTGGTGTATTTTTAATTGTGAGAGAGTCTGTGTGGAGTGACCAAATGCAGAAGTTACCCAGAGAAAAACAACAACCATAACTCAGAAAGCTGCCCGCACATTTTCAACAACATCTTTGATCATGAGTTTTATGTCTCATCGTGACATACTCTTTCCCATGATGAAAGATATTACCAACTCGGTGCGTGCGGCTTATCGTGTAAAAACTATCTAAAGTAAATCTAATGTATGGTAAACATTTGCACCGTACATTTAGCTATGCTAATTAAAAGGTAAAAATTATAGTTCTCGTGGAAAAATGTATCTCATCTGCAAGAACTACTTGGAAAAACAATTAAAGTGCCCTGCTAACATCAGGTTTTTTTTATCAATTTTTTGTGCTATCAATTTAGCACTGTGTAGTTTTCATTGTTTAGGTAATGATAATTGAAAGATTAATATGGTTATGGAATAATACTTCTGCAATTTCCGGCTTTATTCGAGTGTTTACTAACTGATTTATTGTTTAAATCTAAAAATTCCAGCAGAGTGTTATGACTCTTATACGTTCTAGAAATAAATGTTTTGAAAACAACAATCTCATAGTGCGCATCAATAATTTCAATGAAATCGTAAATGCTCATTAATAACGTTTTAATTGAGTTTACACAGAACTTCGAAGCCAATATCAGAAAGTAAATATTAAAAAATTAAATATATTATTTGATGCAAATAAATATGTGGATGAACTTTAAATGAACTTGCTTTAAATTTGAAAGAGAGTATTTAGGTCTTCGCTGATTACCCCTATGAACTTCATGTTATTTTTGGTGTTTTATGTTTGAATGTTTTGGCTCACCTTCGCAGCGTGCAAAAACGAAAAAGATAAAATAAACAGAAAACGCAAAGTGAATAATTGGAAGAGCCCACGATTCTTCTAGCAGACCTTAAAGGCCAAGAAGCCCCCAAAATGAAGAAAACGGTTAAAGATAACTGCGCTTTATTTGCGCCCACTTTGGGTATACATATATACTATATATATACATATATTTTTTTCAGATTGTCTGCGGTGGGGCATGACCGCAAGCAAAACAAAGTCAGGTACGAATATTGAGATATTTCCACCTTTATATTCGGCTGTCAATGGCAAATGCCTGGCGTATCGTTATTAATATGTCTTTGCTTATTTACCTATGCATTTGCCGGGTTAATCTCCCCCAAAAGAACCTAGTAAGTGATCGAAACTTGGTCTTAACATTGAATTTCCGTGAGACCGTCCTTATCTATCGCCCAAAGTGGCACTAATAGTTATCAGCAAGGGAAAACAGAGCGATAGAGCTAAAACAAACAGAGAATTCTAACCGATCGATAAGCGGAGAGCAACTGTAATTCCAGCAGAAGTGACTCATTCGATTTGGCAAATGAAAAGTACAGCACTATCTAATGTTCTGGCCCAGATAAGAATGAGTTTTTTATGTGCGGAAATTCCTATCTGGCGTTGTGTGCCCAATATTGCGACCACGACTGTGTCGATTAGCCCACAGGTAGTAAGGAGTGCAAAAAGGGGTTGCAAAAACCAGTAAGACGGACTTGTTGGCCTGCAGCTGCCAAGGTGGCAAGGACAAGGGGACGCAAATGTGACTCAACCAGAAGTTGAGTCAACAGCAACACTCCCGGCGCGAAAATATTGGGGTCGGGGGTTAGGGAAATGCACCCGAAAATGGCGATCCCAATAAAAAATTCACAGGCTTTTTGGTGCCTTTAATGACATCTTTACACTCGCAGAATGCTTCGATAAAAATTATCTTTAAAAAAAATGTTTAATAATGGTTAGATTTTTCTTTAACTGCATCTCTTTAAACCTTCTTTCTCATTGAAAGTGTGTATTTTCTTATCAGAAACCTACATTTCCCATTTATATGTTGAGTTAAAATATGAAGCACATACACATGTATGTATGTGTGTTTATATACAAAACCATTTATAACAATATGCACAAGAGTTCATAAATTTCAAATTGATATAAATAAATATCCATAAATAAATCTATAAAGCCTTGACATGAAACTTGAAAGCCCAATGCCGCCCTGATAAGAAGAGCTAAAGAAATAAAAACTCATATCATCTGTATAAATATAGATTTCTGCGGGTATATATATAAATTTGAATAATTAAAATTGAATGATTATAATATGTATTCTATTTATTTTCTTATGGGAAATATATTTTTTAATGCCTAATAAGAATAGGAATGCAACTTCTAGGTACACAAAAACAACCCGCAGTTTGTTTTTAACAATATACAAATTATGGATAGAAACTTACTTATCGTCGAGATCGATGGGCAACCTCTTGAGCTCCGACATGTCCAGCTCGAGGCGCAAGTTGGAGACCTCGCACAGCAGGCGATCCCGCTCCACGCTCAGCTCCTTGATCTTGGCGTGCAGGGCACTGTTCTCCCGGAGCAGCTCGTCCACGTTGTAGGGGATCGCATGGTGGTGGGGCAGGGCGATCGAGAGGGGCAGGGAAACGGGTTGTCCTGGCTGGGGCACGCCCCCACCGGGGTTTTCCACGAACATCATGGAGCTGGCCATCAGCAGGGACTGTGTGGTCTGGTGGAGCAGCAGCTCCTGATCGCCATCCGGATTCTGCGACAGATTCAGATTCTTCAGATCCGCCTCGGACATTTTCTTTGTTTATAACTTTTCAGAGGATCGCTTGCACTTTTTCTTTATTTGTTATGGCCAAAACATTATGGCCAGCCACGCACACGCACTCGCGCGAATGAGGGGAGGTGGCGGAGAGGGCGATAAAGCGCGGGGGAAACCGAGCAAACAGGCAGGGCAACTTGAATTCTCGCAATAAAGAACCAGAAAGTGCAGCTTACTGGGGAGCCCGAGAACCTAACGCGTACGTAGTGCCCTTGGATGCTCTTCGCTAGCGTTTCGCGGCCCCAACCGAAAAATGGGGAGCAACAATTGGCTTTGGGGTATGGCGGTTTCGGATTTTCGATTTTCAATTCACGCGCGACTAAAAACGCGACGCACACGACGACTTGCACCGTTTTTGTGAGTGTGACCAACGAATGGGGAATTGAAAGCCACACAAAATTTGGCTGGGAGCATGGTGAAAAAAATAAAGGTCTCGTCGGATTCCTCAGTCCGTTCCCATACGCACAGTGAAAGGGTGATTTCCAATAAGTGCGAGAGATACAGCTGTAGAATGTGTTGTTTAACCCTTATGTTGTACATGGGGTTTAAAATGGCCTATCATATCACAATAAGTGAAAGAGCCGTCCGAACTTAACGGATTGAATCTGAACCCATTTTTGTCATTGCATTGGACAACGTTTTTCTAAACTTGTAAACAGACGGAAACGTTATTTCAAACGGTTACAAGCTGGGCACCGTTTTACCAAACGGTTAAACCAACAATTCGAGAGAGCTGAGAGCCGGAGAGAGCTATCCCAACGTTAACGGACTGTACCCGAACGCAGCAAAAATGTGACCAGATGGTAGGGATGCAAAAAAATCGGTGTCGCAATCGATAGTACCGATAATTTTTAATTTTTGAATTTAAGGAGCGGAAGTTTAAAAAATTCAAAACAAACCGAGTGATTTATTCCAACAAACATAATTTTTTTACTTGTAAATGTCTAAAACTATTTATGTACAAAATTTTAAGATCTCCTTAGCGGAACATCGATGAGTCAATAATTTTGTTTTCTATTTATAATATTTTTTAAAAAGGTTTAATGACATCCTAGCAAGAAACTAAAGAACTTAGCTCACTTCGTATAGTCCATTCCTGGTTGATCCAGTTCGTTGGTAAAAGATTCCATAAATTCCTGATTTTAATTAGCCGGTATGGAAAGTGCGAATTCGACGATGATTTTAATTACAGGACCACCAGGTATCCTGCCAATTAACCAATCCCAATATTCTATTATTGTTTAATTGATAATTCACTTTTTAGGTGTGGGCAAAACAACGCTGGTGCGCAAGATATGTTCGAATCTACAGGAAAAAGAGCGCATCCTGCAGGGATTCTTCACAGAAGAAGTTCGAGGTCAGGGAACTAACCAACGGATTGGATTCGATGTGGTCACCTTGGCGGGAAAACGAGGAATCCTGGCACGCGAGAATCCTGCGGATAACCTGCGACGCCCAAAAGTGGGCAAGTATTCGGTATTTGTCCAGGATTTCGAGGATCTAACATTGCCACTGTTGGATGTCAAGGATTCCCGCTCAGAACTCCTGATCATCGACGAAGTGGGCAAAATGGAGCTATTCAGCAAGCGTTTCGAGTCTGCCATGAATAATCTTCTCAAGAAGAAAACTCCCTTGGTGGTCACCATACCCGAAAAATCAAACTTGCCACTTGTGGAGCAGTTGAGAAAATCATCCGAATCGGTTCTCTATAAGGTGACTAAATCGAACAGGGATAAACTGCCAGCTGAAATAACAGATCTAATCACAAAATCATTGCTTGTAACAAAGTAAAATTGTTGGTCTTTTTATTAGTGGCTAGGTATATTAGACTTGTGCTCCCGTTCCTCCGCCAGTCGGCGGTCATCATCCGATGCTACGCGTCCACGAAACCTGTGGCTGAAGTATTCATTGCAGGCGGCGGCATGGATGAGGACAACGACTGGGATTCGCTCTTTCGCGTGGATCGTTTGCGCACTCGCTTCGTTTCCCTGGCCCAGTCCATTTCGTTGTAGTGCTGCTCGGAGGCGGTCCAGTGGAACTCCTGTCGGCTGACCAGTTCCGGATATTTCTGTTCGAACTCCTTGTCCGGCGGCAGCAGCAGTTCCCAGCGTTTTGTGGTGTTCACCCGCGCCACAGTCCTCAAAACATCCAGTGTTTCCGCAGGTGGCAACTGGGTGGCGACCATCACCTGAGCGCGGAACAAATAGGGCGTGCGGGAGAAGCGGAAGAGCTGGGGAATGAAATTATTAATAATTTTAATTACAATAACTTGATTCAAGTTGACTTACTATATAATCCCTGGCGCGGATCATCTGATCTGCGGGCACTCCGTTGGCATGGGAGAGCATTTTCTCGGGAAAGACGACCTCGGAACGCGGCACCCAGTTGCCGTGCAGCAGGATGCCCACCTGTGGCAACAAAGCCAGCACCTTGTCTGCCGCCACATGCGGATCCACGTGCTCTGCTAGTATTCCAATCAGATCGTTGAAGGAGAGCATCCTGGCGTCCCTGAGGAGCACCGTGAGCTGTTCCACCAGCGGCATAGTCTTCAGCATGGCCTTGTTGTAGACAGGAAGCACTTGAGCGGCAGCGGCAGCAGCCGAAGAGCTGACCACCGGCTGGACATGCTCGTCGTACGGCAAAAGCTTGCGGAGATAGTCGCCAGCGCCGAGGGCCAGAGCCTGATTGCCCTGATGGCTGGTGGCAAAGAGTTTCTGGCGCTCCAGCTCGGCGGTGGGCGTGCCCCTCGAGTGCCAGTAGGCCTCGCACCAAGGTTCATCGGCAATCCGCTGGACAAATCCATCATAGGTGCCCGCCCGCTGCTCCTTGCCGCTGTTTTTGGTGTTACCGCGGGCAAACTTCACCGTGACCTGTTGCAGCACCTCATCATCGTCCATGTCCTCCGTTTGGGCCTTCTGTTCCGCTTTTTTGCGCTTGTCATCCTTGTCGAAATGGCTAAGAGCAGGACGCATTTGCACAATCGAGGTGAGAGGCGATAAATGGACCTCCCGATCCGTGTAGATGCCAACTATGTACTTGGCAACATCCGTTAGGGAACGGGTGCTCGTGAAGGCCTGTTTGTCCATGATGCCACGTTTGTAGGTCGGTCGCTCCTGACCTTTTTGCGGGGCCGCTCCATAGGTATTCTTTCCATCGGCGGCCACTGCAAACTGTTCGCCCTTAAAGCGATCAAAGTGGGCGGACTCTATGTCCAGCCCAAAGTCCACTTTCACCTCCTGCGAAATCGGTTTCACACAGCAATTCACTATCACGGAATCATCGTGGTTCGGGAGCTCCGTTTTCGTGGGGTATTGAAACAAGTACAAGCTGTCCTGCAGGTTTTTCGAGAGGAACACGGGTATCTGGTGGGGATTGTCGGGGGTTTTATTGCTGGAACTAGTGTTGCCACACCCAAACTCACCTCCTCCACCACAGGATCGTCCTCGTCGTCCATAATTATTTTTAATTCGAATGAAATCTTCCTTCGTCTCGGTGCACGCCTAAACCGTCAGTGTTGTTAAAGTTTTTAAGTTGCTGCTAGCCAACACTGCAACAGCTGGTTGATACAGTGGGCTTTGAAATTCATTTTGTTAGAACATTTTCAATAGGACATTGTTATTAAAGCAGAGAACAAACTGTGATAAAAAAAATAATACCAAGTAAATGTCAATAAAAAAGCGTTTGAACATAATAAGTCAAGAAAAATTATAATTTTCTCAATCTTACCAATAAAATTAAATCTTTGGTTCGATTAAATATCAGTTAATTTTGCATTTGCTTACCAATATTTTTTAAACCAATAAGAGAGATCAAAACTCCTAAAACAAAAATTGACTTATAAAAAAACATAGAACAAACAATTCTTAAAATGCGTTTGAATTCAATAAGTCGAATAATACTTTGAGATCTCTTTATCTTATCATTAAAATTGTATCTGATTCTGATTGCTTACCAATTGTTATTTTGAAAGGTTTCGAAACAATTAATTACTTTTGTTCACTTGCAAATATGTTATTATCATTAATATGTTAATATTTAAAACTAATGCAAACCCTTTTTGACCCACCGATCTGAACCACTGTGCAAAGACAAAAGGCAAAATCAATTTACCCTAAACCGATTGGCGATTCCGATTTTTAATCGCCCACGACGCCCGGGGAAATGTCTCGGTCGACCACAACATGAAGCATATATATTCTATATGCTCTTGGCCCGATGCATACATAACCCGATCATGTTCACGGTCACGTCGGAGATCTACGGCGAAACCAACTACCAAACATCCCGCGATGATGGAAAAGTGGTGTCCAAATTCCGTTTCATCTATCCGGAGGAGAAGCTGACGGGGATTAAGGAGGACAAGGATGGTGACCTTGAGGTGCCGAGGCCTCGACGTGGCGTGATCGAATTGGAACATTCCGAGGCCACGGAACTGCGCTTGGTTGGTTTGCAAGTGTGGCGAGGTGCCCTTCTCCTGGCGGATTATTTATTTTCGAAGAAGGATGAGTTCTCCGGGAAAACCCTAATGGAATTGGGAGCTGGTGTTGGCCTGACCAGCATAGCAGCGGGTATTCACAATCCCGGAAGGATCTACTGCACGGATGTGGATCTGGGCTGCATTCTGAAGCTAATCCGCGGGAACGTCCAAAGGAATTCCAAACTCTTAACTGGAAAAATCTCTGTTCTGGAATTTGACTTTCTCGCCCCCAAGGAAGAGCAATCTCAGGAGCTGGTGGAGGCCATAGACAACAGCGATATAATCTTGGCTGCCGATGTCATCTATTCTGATACCCTCACCGACGCCTTCATCTCCGTGGTGGATAATCTACTAAATCGCGGAAGACAAACTGGCAGACCCAAAACCATTTACGTGGCGCTGGAGAAGCGATATGTGTTCACCTTGGAGGATTGCGATTCGGTGGCTCCCATGTACGAGTACCTGATCCGGCAGACCATAAATAAGCCCTGGAATCTGGAGCATCTGCCTTTGGATTTTCCTCAGTATTTCGAGTATGATCGCTGCAAGCAACTGATTCTGATCAAGATTACCAGTCGGTAAAGGACTTGAACAACTAAAAAAGACGTTCCGCATGGTAGATTCAATTAATACATTAATGTACCTTACTTATTTAGTTAACTTATGGCTTTGTTATATTAGGTTCAGATATTACTTGAATTAAACTAATTACTTCTCACTTGAGCTTTGATTTCTGAAGTGAAATTTTGAAAAGGAATGAAGTAGTCTCAGTAAAAAAATAAATAAATATTTAAAATGATTTTATTTGTCATGTATTTGTTTAAATACAAATCATTTCAGTATAAAATCTATGGACTAGTGCTAGGACTACAAAAACATTTTGAAACGATTATTTTTGCACTTGCACCAAATAAAAGGTAAATTAACCAAACTCAGCAGTTCAAAAACGCCATCTAAGATTAGTCAACAATGTTTGCTTTAAATGACAAATGACCCAATGGAATAAATACGACTAAACTATGCCCTGAACCCGTGATAAAAATCAGCAGCGATAACTTGGGATCAGAGATCCTGCATGGCCAGAATGATGTTCTCCAGAGCCTGTCGAGCATCCGTGGCCGGGAAATGTTGCAGAACAGCCAAAGCGGCAGCCGTGTGCTTCCTCTGTAGTTCCTTAGTTTTAATCAACGCAGGACCGGCCAGGATTGCCTTGTGAATCTTGTCGTAGTCGATGTTATCGACGGATTGCTTGCCCGCCTCCAGCTGGGCGTACATGCCAGGGTCGTGCTCCAAATGGAACAAAACTGGAGCACTTACGAGGCTAAATGTAGTATCCAGAGGGAGTTGTGGGCACTGGAAGGGCTCGGCATCCAAGCAGGCCTGCCAGGCTAGGGCCAAGTGTTTGCCAAAGCGGTACGCATGTCGCTGCAATTCCTCACTCTGGCCGGCCAACTTCAACGAAGCTTGACAGGACTTGCCCAGGAGACTACCGGCATTCAGAATGTTACGGCACTCCCATTCCTCCTCAGGATTTCCCAGAACCTGAGCAATTGGCATGGGGGTCATCACGTCGTGCTCGTTGAAATCCACTCCGACGCTAAGGGATGGTCGCTGGAAGGTTCCCGGCTTGTAGGGCAGTGGATTATTCTGCTCATCTCGCTCTCCAATGAATTCCGACTCCGAGAAATCGCGCACAGCCGACGAGATCAGCTCCACCACTTCCTGGTTGCGCAGATTAGCGAGCTCCGCACTGGAATGGCCCAAAAGGTAGTCGCCGGTCAGGAGACCGATCTTGTTGCCAAAGGACATGTCGTCGTAGGTGGCCACATCCTGTCCAGCCTGGGTGCTCGACTGCAGGTTGACAACACTCTAAAAAAAAAAGATAAGAATGTAACAAATGCAAAAGGCAACAGTTGAAGTTTTCATCTGAAATATTCGAGAAACAACCTTTTTACAATTTTTTTTGTTTCGCCAAATAAATATGTATGTGGAAAGTTATAGTCGTTCGCTTAGTCTATAAGGTGTGAGTCTAATTTGCATAGACAGCCACTAATTTCAGACATAACTTCCGAATGTTTGCTTTTCGTAACCTATGCGTCATTTTTGATCGTATCTTTTAACAAACTTTAAACTTACATTGTGGACGAGATGTGAAATCCTGATCATTTCGGTGACCTCAGCCAGAGCTCTCTGCGAGTGAAGCACTCCTGCACTCTTATCCTGCTCCACATCAGGAACACTGGGAGCATGTCCTGCGGCCTTGGACACCAAAAGCACTATCAATCCCCAAGCTTGCATTGTGTTCTTGCCATTGTAGAGCAGGTGTCTAAAACAGGATTTATGATAAATCAACTGATTGTATTTTATGCCAAACAAGTACTTACTTGGCTGTTTTCATCAGCGGATGGGCACTGCCCACCAGTTTGCGCAGGTGCAGCGCCACATTGGCGATCTCGTCGCTGAGCAGCCAACGCAGGCTCAAAAAGGATGTGGGATAGCCGACGATCCTCTCTGCCTCGCTGACCGCCCTGTTCCAGTCGTGCCTGGGGGGCGGGCTCGTCACCTGTGCAGTGGAATGCTTTCCACTGACCGTCGACGTTGCCGTCCAGCGTTGCTGTTGTTGTCGTTGGAAAGTGAAAGTTTGCAGCGCAGGCGCAACTTGAGGGTTTTGGAATTCGTGGACCTCTGCGGAAATCCTTCGACGCAACTGTTGCATAATCCTTAACCCACTGGCGCGGTACATGGTTGTCTATCTTCTCTATTGTTTTGCCTAAAAAACCACAATTATTTACAATTGCTGGATGAGAAAATCGCGTCTTTAGCTCCGCTCTGTCGAATTGCTCGTCGAAAAGTGAAATCTTCGGGGTCCGCCGCTGCCCGCGTCGCTGCCGACGTCGATTGCCTCTTCTTCTTCGCTTCGGGCGGCCCACTTTTACAGTTGGTCGCTTCGCTCAGGTGGCCGCCAAGCGTTTTGTTTGTTTTTATTGCCCCACGCAGTGTCATGGAATTTGGGGTGGTGGGGGAAGACGGTGCAGGGAGTGGTGCGGCGGTCTTGAGCGGGAAAACAGGTTTTTCGCACGGCAGTGCCGTTTTGCGGCACACTTTTTGGCCATGAGCGCAGTAGTATGGTCACACTTGGTGATGGAAAATGGGTAAAAGAGTGTTCTAGAGATATCACATAATAAAGGACAATATAATTTCAATGTAAAAATCAAAAAAAAAATGCATTTAGCAGAAATTAATCATTTAAATTAAATTCTTATTTGCTATATTCTGTTTACCTTTTCAATGCCCTTTTTTTTAACCATTAATATTTAAAGCCAATGTCATGAATTGAAAAAAATTTTTTGTGGTTTTGAAAGTAATTTAATTTATTTTCAACGGCTTTTTATCCCTTTGCAACTGATTTGGATTAGGTGCTTAGTTCTTATTTGCTATTTTCTGTTCACCTTTTCAAGTTCCTTTTTTTTAACCATTAATATATATCGATAGTTTAGTGTTGGCAGTATGTTATGTATGATATGTGTATTAATAAAGAGCCGATAATATGCCCAAAAATATTTTTTACTTTTAAAATAAAGAGATTGTTAGTTATTTTCTTATTTACTTTTGATTTTAATAAAATTTAACTTGTGCCGCTGTGTTCTTGACACCCCAACATCGATTCTGACCTCAATCTATCGATAGCGCCATCGATGGGCTGCCACCTCTACCGCCGACGGCAAGTTTCCCTGATATTTGTTGCGAATTGTTAAAAAAATCGATCGCAGATTTTCCGTATGCGAATGCGAAAGAGAAAGTGGCACAAAATGTAAAAACTAGTGAAAACTAGATCGGCAAACGCTTAGAACACCGAAAATAATGTTTAAAACGTAAAAAAGATCGAAAAATGCAAATGCAGAAGCGAATGCCCGAGAAGTGAGAGGGTGTGCGTTCAAGTGTGTGTGTGAAAGAAGAGCTGCAACGAATTAAATATAAATAATAATGCCAAGTGCCGTTGAATGACGAATAGTTGTGGCGCAAAATGATTAAATGGCATTTAAGCCGTGTTTAAACACTGCAACGGAAATGTTTAATAGTTTTTAATTACGCTAGCGGTCGCTGCCCCGGCGCTGTGTGTGTGTGCGTGAGGAAGAAGGGGACAAAAGGAAAAGAGAGTGGGAAAGAGGAATATGCAACAACTGTGCGATTTAAGTTATCGGTGGCATTTGTTTTTCGGCTATTTCGAGTGTCTGAAAGTCAAAATCTGAAAATCTGATGTGTACACACACATTACTGCCCAGAAACAGAGGAAACGGGGCGAAAAAGAAAACTACGAAAGTGGTTGCTTGCTATGTAGGTGTATGAGTGTGTGAGAGGAATGCTGTCTGTCTATGTATCACGTTTCGCACATTGTATGCGTGTGTGTCTGTGCAGTGTTGTATAGTGCATAAATTATGGAATTTTGGATTTCTTTCGAGTTTCGTTTTAGTTTCTGATTTTTTTCCCTTAATCGATCTGTATGTTGCTCTCTCTGTCGCTCGCTCGCTTTAAAAGGTTGCATCCCCAAGAGATGCACAAAGAGCGAGAGAGCGTAAGCGAGATAAACAGACGCCGCCACTAACGCACACAAATGCAAATGCAGTTAGCTGGTAAAACTTGTTTTCTCCCTCTCTCTCTGCAAAAAGAGCAAAAGCCGCTATTCGGCCGCTCGCTCTCTCGCTACTCGCCGCTGCTACAACTACAAACACACTTGCTATATACCATATATACGGCTGATTCAAAGCTAGGCGAGCAAAATTTCCATTGTGTGTGGCGGCCAGCGTTCGCAGTCGGTTCGAAAATTTCTGACTCGTCATTCGTGCGCAAAAAACACAAAATACAACGCAAGAAGTACAAGCCTGAGTAATAGATTAAATATAAATATTTAAAAGTACTGTTATGTTTGAGGATCAACCGCTGACTCTTAGTTTTTCGTGTGTGTGCTGTCGTGCGAGTGTGTGTGGTGTTTCCTCATTACTCATCTTCATTATTGAATTTTGAAAAATATTTATTTTTAAAAAACCTGAAATTTTGTTGTGTGTTAATCTGAATTATACAGCCGAAAAACTCTTGTCTATTTTATTTTTTGTCTACATCAACGATTAACGAAAAATCCAACGACTTTCATCGTCGTTTGTGTGTTTCTAGAAGTGAATGTGTGTGTGTATGTGCCTGTGCGTATACTCGCTGCCTTCGGATGAAAAAAGTCAATTTCTGAGTCTCTCTCTCGGAGACTTTGGCTCTCTTTTGCATGAATGAACGAACCCTTGTAATTGTTGTTTATAAGTGTGAGTATGTGAGTGTAGCAACAAATAAGCAGTGAGGAAAACAATAAGAAAATTAAGAAATAAATACAAGAATGCGATATTTTCCAAATTCGAATGAAATCAAGTGCGGGAAAGTCTAATTGCTTTTATATTCCAGCTCTAACCAACAACAGCAACATGCATAGTTCTACAGTATGTGTGTTTCATTGCCAAAGCAACGTTTACATATAAATACTCTCTTAAGAGAGCAAATAATAAGAAATACAAATAAATAAATCAAATCAAAACCAAATAACTAAACATCAAATAGCAAATTACAAACAAAATTCAACAACAAAATATCGAAAGCAAAGAAACGAGACGAAAGAGAGTTTTCAATATTTGTGTATCCGTGTGTCGTCTCTCTCGCTCTCTCGCGTGTGTTTCGTGCCTATATCTGTGTGTGTGTGTGCGTGCAGCAGAATCAATAATAAAAAATAAAGATCCAAAAAAGAAGAAAAATTAAGCAAGCAAATGTGCAAAATACTAGAGAATATACAAGTCAACAACAAATAAAAACAACGACCGGATAAATAACAATAATAGCAATACACTATACACAACAACGTTGAGAAAATGAGGTGCTGCTGTGCGAAGAAAACAAGCCAAGAACTATGACGCATCAAAATCATCAGACAAACGGCGCAAGTTTGGAGGATTGCCACACAAACTTTTATGCCTTGGTAAGTGTTTTTTTTTTTTTTTTTTGCTGTTTGCATTTGTTTTTATTTCGCTAGGGGTTTTTTTTTTTGCTAGGAAGATCTAGGTCAGTGAGGACTCAGGGGGTCTGAAGAGGGCTTTGGGGTCACTTGCGGGGGTGTGTCACCCACACAGAAACAAAATTAAACCACTGATCATGGGATCTCTCTCCATCCCACTCTCTCTTATCGATTGGCAGAGGAAGACGCCGCCGGTCGGCGACAGCTGTTTATCGTTATCGCTGAAGATGCTTAAAAGGAATAAAGATTAATTAACTATAAAATTGATAATAACGGAAAACTTAAAAATAAACCCTTAATATAGAAAAAACATTTTATGTAGGTCAAATAAGGACTTAAAAGTTTTGAAATTTTTATTTATTTTTAAAACTTCATTTTAAAAGTGTACAATATAAAAACATTAATTTGTAATTTTTCATAGAACCTATATTTGGAATAATAAGCACTCGAGTAAAAGGATGATTCTATTTGGGGTCGTGCAAAAGTTATTTTGAAACTCAAAGGTTTCACATCAGATAGCGTTCATTATTGGGATTTGAAAATTGAGTAACTGGAAGCTTTAATTTCCGGGTGTTCACTGTAGCAGTAAAAGCGGGTGTCTTTGTGGCAACCTGGCGGCTGTTGCTTTGCGACTTTGTGGGTTTTGTTTTCAGACTGCGGCTCGGTGACTTTGTGGCCCATAACAGGTTCTCCTTCTTCCCGAGTCTCAAAAGTCGAGACTGAAGACTCAAAACCCGCGACTGAAGACTAAAAGCTTGGGGAGTACGACTAGTTAGCTGGCCCCGCTAGTTATTGTTGCTATTGTCTGTTCTCTTTGGCATATTTCTTTAATGAATCTTGCGTCAGGAAGAGGGGACAGGGAAACGACAGACAATACAGATGCCGAAAAACGGAAAAGCCGAAAGAAATAGTCAAAAAAGCAGAGGCGATGACGACGACAATGCGTACAAGTCAACGTGCTCCACTTCTCCCGCTCTTTCTATCCCTCTCTCCCGCCTTCCCACTTTGTACTTACAACTCTCTTAGTGAGTTTGGAGCAGCTATAGACGAAGACGAAGAAGAGGCGGAGGAGAGGCCGACGCCAACGAAATAACGAAACAATAACAAACGCGCCAAACTTTCTCTGAGCGAGAGAGAGAGCAAGGCGACAGAGCAAGACGGCGAACAAGAGAACAGTTTGAACTTGAGAGGCACGCGCGCGTGAACAAATACAAACACAAGCGCAAAGCATGTCGGAATGATAACAGCAAAAGAGTGGGAACTACGCTCTCTCCTTCTTCCCCCCTGTCTCTCGTTGAAGGATTGCAAAAAGCGAGAGGGAGAGAGATAGCCAGTGGGCAGATAAAAGATAGAAAAAATCAACCTACGAGATAGCTCGCCCAAAAATAAAAGCCAAATCGAAGACCGAAACGAAGAAAAAGTAGCGAGACGAAATGAGAGCGAAAATGAAAACACACACCAAAATGGCATAAACCCGAAGAGGCATCAGCGGAAGAATGTGGAACATTTTGTCGTCAAGAAGATGGTGGAGGAAAGAGAGGGCTTGGGAATTTGGGGAGAATGGCCGGTTTGGGGGAATACCTTTGGGTGTGATTGTATGCGTGCGTGCGCCCGCTCGCTTGTGTGGGTAAGGTGCAGTTATTTATTTTGGCCCCATCTCGCTTTGCCCCATTGATTGTTTGCCTTCTCACTCGCCACTTGCCACACCAGCAACTTGTTTTCATTTTTCACAAATATTGCCATCTTAAAATCTCTATAAATTTTCTAAGAGTTTTCCCAAGCCAAGATATCTTATACGTGACAACAAAGTTGCTAAGCTTTTGTTATAATCCTCAATATACTGAACTCAACACTCCTGTATTGACATTATCTGCTTTTAAGCAAAAAATATTTTAAGGGATATAAACCTTAGTTATTAAAAATTGTTTTTGTGTAAGTGGTTTTCTGTAATAATACATTTACTCCAGGGTTTTTTTTATCAGCTTGCGGTTTTGGTGCTGCTCTAAATTTCAGATTAAATAAAAGCATATTTTATGAAGTTAGTTAAGTACATATTATCAAATCTCTCATTTACATTTAATAGTATTGGTGCGTAGATTTCCATTTTACCATACAATTCATGGCTATTTTTGATGGAAGTATCTTGCTGTTTGTGGAATATTCAAGTTTTTCTGGAACTTTTGGGTGATTGGGGACTGTTGTATAAAGCCAACGCAACTCTGCAGCGGAAGCCGCCAATGACGACCCCAAACGGCTAAAAAAGCTAAAAAGCCAACGAGCCCAGTTAGTCAGTCACTCATTCTTCTTTTTCTCCGTGCTTCTCTCGTATTTTCGCTTTTTTTCTTCTTCGGTGCCCCCAAGTTTTTCTTGTCTCTGCTGCAGCTCCTCTTCCGCTCCTTCTTCGCCCCTCCTTCCACTCTGGCGTTTTTTCGTGCTTTTGTTTTGAGTTGCGAGGTAGCGGAAGATTTTCGAGCTTCGCTTTGGTCGTTTTTATGCTTTTGTAGTTGTTTTATTGTTGTTGCTGCTGCCAAGTGCAGTGAGGAATGTATTTTTACATGTGTCTGTGCCTGCGATTCCGTAGATTTCGCAACACTGGTAAATTAGTGGGCAACAATTCAAGATGATTATCGTTTTTGCATAGATGGAAACCCTCTGGGGAATGAAACAATAACTTATGTTAATGCTTAGCTTAGTCACCATACCATACCTTGAAAGCAAAAGTAATTATCATATTTATTCACAAAATCTATAATATAATTTGCAAAATAAGTTATCCAGCCAAAGTCATAGCTATAAGTTTAAACGGATAAACACTATTTAATAATGTAATCCAATGAGTTAAAAACTATTTTCGACTTTGTTTTTTAAGTTGAAAATTAATTAATAATTAAAAAGAAGTTGTTAAGAATTATTGTAAACTTTTATACATATTTTCTTTTCTGCTTTTCTTTGTGATACTCCGTGAAACAAAGCTTTTTCAAAAAGAATTATATTTTGAAAATTAGGTCGAATTCGTATGGCTGTTTTAGTTTGGTTTTTCAAGATCTCTTCCCTAACAGCTGCAATAACAAATCTGGAATTCAGACTCAGACTTTGTTGTTTCTCGTACGTCACGTATAAAAATATTGTGTAGATATAGAACTTTCGTGACGACGGAGTAAACAAATGGTAGGCGCTAGTCTAAAGATAAATATGCTTCGGTATTAGTTATCAGTTAAGTGTATCGCAGAAACTATTTGGCATTAAGTCTGGATACCATTACCTGTTTAAATGTGTATTAATGACTAATTCGTTATTGCTTTCCTGTTTTCAGACTGATTTATGTGGAATAAAATGGCGGAAGTTTGTTAATGGGGAGCGACCGAACGCACCGAGCGATCCTTTAACGGACCCGATCCTGCGCTCCTATTCGCGATGCATCCGGGCGGACATGCTATGCGTGTGGAGGAGGGTCCAATCCACGAAGACGGACAACGCCGAACCCAATGCCTTAACCTTTGAGATCGCCACCTCGACCAAGGTCCACCCGCCCCTTTCGTTGGCCGCCGCCAAGGAGCTGTGGATCTTTTGGTACGGCGAGGAGCCTGATCTCAAGGATCTGGTCGATGCCGAATTGCTGAGAGTTGCGGGTAAGTTATTTTCCTTCAAATGCTACAAAATAATTATTTCCTAAGCAAAATGTTTAGGTTCCTTATAGTTGGATACCAAATTGTTGGATATTGTAGTTAAAGCTAATTTCAAAAAAAGCTAATTTTTCAACTATTTTAGTTTACAACCTTTTTTTTGTTGAAGTTGAGGGAAAGGAAAAAGTATATGTTAGAATTTAAAATCAGTCGCATTTTTCAACAAACCCTGAATGGGAATTTAAATGCTAAGAAATATCTAACTTCGCTAGGATTTGATTAATCATCAACGCCCAATAAACAGCTTTAAAAATAAGTGTTACATTTAAGATCGATTGTAATATTTTCTCCCTCTCTCTTTCTCTCATTCTCACGCACACATGCAATTGGGTGATGAATTTAATAAAGCTTCAAGGCCGCATTCATCGCATGCAGTGCAACAACAAATTTTCGCCATCTCTTTGGCGAGTCTGTGTGTGTGAGGGTGTATCTGTGTGAGAAAAGCCAAAACAACGGCAACACACAAACAAACAAACAAACAGAGAAACACGCGAAATACATTTCGATTGCGGCAGATGATTATTATTATTATTGCTCTCCGGTTGCTCTCCTTGTTTTCCTCCATCCCCCAGTGTTTCTCCCCCTCTCTATTTTATTTTCCTTTGGCGTCACTCAATTCACATGGCGTCGTTTTGAAGCGTCAGCAACAGAAAAGAGTAAAGAAAAATAAAACAGCAATAAACGTCAATCGTAGGTGGCTTTTTTGCCTCCCACTCGCGCACACAGAAAAAAAATTAAAAATACAAAGATTAAAATTTGTTTCTTTTTGATATAATTTTGATTTGTAAAGTAGTCAATCCAGAAGGAGAGTAGCAAAAACCGCTTGTCAATTATAACAGAGCTTAGATCCTACCGCTCCACACAAAGAACTATTTTTTTTTATTTTTGTAGCTACTGAAATTCTCTCAAAGTCAGTTCTAGATAATCTAGATCAACTTTTTTTTGCTGTGCAAATATAGAGAAAAGAGGAAGCAGTGCTTAAACGTCACCTGTCATTTGCAATGTTTTTTTGCTTGCTCTCTCTGTCGCTCTCTTTCTCTCTGGTAATTATGCAAACCAAGAAGAAGGGTGCTCTCGCGTTCTCCCTCTTTCTCTTCATCCCTCTCGCTTGCTCCTCCGAGGGTTGTTCAATACACACTGGCCTTCGAAAGAAGCTCTCTCGTTCTGCCACCCTCCCTCTCTATCGCATCCTATCTCCCTTTCTTTCTTTTCTTATCAGCCATTGCGTGTGGCTACTATTTATTCAATATTTATTGTTATTGCCTCATTATCTCTGACCACTAACTACGTACATCGTGCATTGTAGAATTTGAATTTTGGTTCCAGCTCTCTATGGCAAATTCCATTACCGAACTACGAACCACAGGTTGCCAAAGATCCACGCCGTTGTAATCTACAAACCCATTAATGCTTTCTGTTACTTTTTAAAATTTTTTGGTAAACGTTTGTTTTGTTATAACTTTTTAATACAAATTTGAAATGGGTTTTGAAATGAAGGGTGTTTTCGAACTAAAAATAAAAATTTTAAAGAACTAGAAATTAGGTATGTCATAACCAAAAAACAATTTAATAAATATTTTGAATAAACATAGATACATATGTGGATAGAAGTTCCCGTCCACAAATGTTATTGGTTTCTGAAGTACCTGACTAAGATACGGCGTACGGAAGTTTGACTGTATCTATCGCTATCTGCCTACGTCATTGTGGCCCACTGATATTACAGTTAGCTCTTGTCTTCTGACTACGCTAACGTTCTTTTTTTCGCGCGCACTTTTTGCTGTCTGGAGTTGAGAGTTGAATGCACGTAGCTTTTACCGCTGATGAAATTATTGTTTTTTCCCTGTTTGTTTTTGTCTTTGTCATCGTTGCATCGCCTTGTTTTATTGTTGTTTTTGCATTTTTTAATGACAAGGACATTGACTAATTGCATTGACATTACTTTGTCTCCGTCGCTTGTGCGGATTTTCGTTTCTTTTTATAGCCTTTTCGGCCATAAACAACAAAACTGACAAAAAACTGTCGTACCCCAAGTTATTAGTGTGTGAGTCTGCGAGTGCGTGTGAATGAAATTCTGAAAGAGAGAGAAGAGTGGCGAAGAGAGCGCTCGCTGTTGTTACTGCTTTGTTTCTCTGATTTGCTATAGGTGAAAACGGCAACGCCGCAAATCTCAGCCAGTTTGCACAGTGAAATGAAAGCACTGTAAGGTTTACGGGACCAGTGGGCTATTTATTATTCCAGAAATAGTTGTAAACTTTACTTAAGGAAGAAGTAATTTATTAACCATTCAAATAAACATTTTCAACATAATTCTGGTGTAAAAATAAAAAACTTAAGTATTGAGAATTTTTAAAATGTTAAATACACTTCCATTATTCAATAAAATTTTCCAAGACTTTCCTACTCACACCCACTGTGAACTAATTTATTTACCATTTTGTAATTTTGAGCTTGTCTTTCTACTTGCGTTAAACATTTTGGTCATTTTAGGCAGCAGGCGTCATTGGCAGACACGCCTACGCTAGAGTATCATAGTAGCCCCCCAATTTACATGTATTCTTCCCCCATTCCCCAATAAAAAAAACACCCCACACGCTACTTGTTGTCATTGTACTAAGACTTTATTGTTGTATTTCGATGCCATACGATTTTTACCTTAAACAGCTGTCACTTGGTCATGTGTGTGCGACTGTGTTGGGGTCGTAGTGTGCGTGTGCTCCACAATTGGAGCCAATAATTACGTGCTCCTCTCTGCGAGAGAGAATCTCTCATGCGGTTATTCTCTTTCAATGAGCTTAAACTGGTTTGCTAGCTTCGGCTTAATTACAATGCGCTTTCTTGCTCATTTTGTTGTTGTTGTAGCTGTTGTCTTTTGCATTCGTGTATTTTACGTGGTTTTGGTTTTGGCTTTTGGCTTTGTTATTGCGCTTACTAAACAATTTTTCAATGTGTGAGCGCGCAGATTATTGACCTTGATTAAACATTTGTTGCTGCCTGTCGTTCTGTGGCCACGCAAATGCAAAATGCTCTCCTAATTAAACGTTACAAATGTTGTGAAATTCTCACAGATAGTGTGAGAGAGGGAGGGTGATATGCTGCGTTAGCAAAAGTTTAACCTAAAATAGCGTTGTTGTTTTGGGCCACAAACAAAATGAGCAGCAAACTTAGGTGGGGGGAGAGTGGGGGAGCGTGCGAGTGTGGGTGAACGAGTGCACGCCTAGCGGCACTTTGTCTCCCAAACAACCACTCTCTCTTACTCGCTACTTTCCATAGAGAGACTTTGTCAGCTCTCTCTTTTTGAGCGAGAGAGAGAGAGGCATCAGCAACATGTGCACAAACCACACGTGCTAAAAAATTCACCCACACAGACAATTTGTGTGTGTGCTTGTGGAATTTGCATTGAGCAGTCGCCGTCGATTCCGATTCCCCGATTCCGATTCACCCGATTACGATTCCTTTTCCAAATTTTTAAAATTTTTTGGGAAGGTGAAAATTTGAAAACAAAAATTAAAGTCATTCAACTAAATATAAGTTAAAATAAATCAAAGTTGCTTAGCCTTTACTCAAAGAAAGATAAATATTATTTACTATGTATATCAAATGGGCGGGTACTTGATTCGTTTTGGTTCTGTATTTATGGCAATTTGTTGAAGATTTTTAAAGAATATTGCTAAATTTTATAGAAGTTAATTCTTCCTTCGGAAAGTAAATCAGATCAGAGATTTACAACGCCTAAGTGGAATATTATTTGAGCAACGTTTATTACTTTGCATTGAAGTCAATTTCAGCGCTTTGTTTTTTGTTTGTCGTTTCGTTTTGTTTCGTCTCGTCTCTCGGTTTTCTTTTGTTTGTTTGCCGAGAGCGGCTGAAGCTGCAGTTGTTGTTGCTTTTGTTTTTTCTGGCCTACCCTTGTGGGCTTTTTTTTTGCGGAGCTTTGAACTTTTTGCCGTTGGGTAGTGTGTCAATGTGTGTGTATGACCTCAGAAAAGAAGAGAAACGAAGAAGAGCCGGCTTTCAGGATGGAAATTGGAAGGTGGGGATGGGAAATATGGAGATGGTGGGATAATAATAGTGGAGAAGAAGAGAGCAGGAGGCAGACTCTCTCACGCACTCACAAACACAGTGGCATAATCGTACATTGCCCTTTACCCTGCAAGCCTTTGGAAGATAAATTTATCCCCTATCGTCTAGAAGACACTTCTTAGTCACTTCTGGAAGATAGAAAGACGATAGAGCACATTTTACAAAAACAAAATACACATCTATCGCCTAGAAGTCACTTCTTAGACACTTCTGGAAGATAGAAAGACGATAGAAATTTTTGGAAAAAAAAGAAGAGTTTTTTATCGCCTAGAAGTCACTTATAAGTCACTTCTGGAAGATAGAAAGACGATAGCACACATTTTACAACAACAAATATACAAAAAAAACTATCTCCCAATTCACTTCTGGAAGTTGATAGGAAGATAGTAAAGCAAAGGTCCCAAAAATTTACCGATATTCTGGTTTTACTGAATATTTTTGTGTATTTTCTTTTGACCCGCGTACAGATTTTGCTGCAAGGCGTCATTTAGTTTCTAGACTGCTGTCTTGCCAGTTCAAGTCTGAAAATTGTTAAGTGTTTAAAAATATTATTACGTCTAACAACGCGTACAATGCCGGAAAAAAATGCAGCACATGTTAAGATCAACTATTTTTTTATATAAAGGTAATGCACATCAGTTTCTAAATATGCTTTTCATTTTAATAATGTTATTTGTGTGTTTTCTTATAGAGTTTACGTTTGTTAAATTTCCGGATGATTCAGAGCTGAAAAATCAAAAAATCTTCCATCAACAGTTCATCGGTTGTACAAGCGTCGAAAATATACAAAATTATATTAAAAAAAATATATTAACATATAAATTATTACATTAAAAAAAAATTTAATTTTTAATAAAAATAGTAAAAATATTTTCTATTATTTTTTTCCAATTGGGAATATTCTTCTGGGTAACTTCTGGAAGTGTCGCGGAAGTCACTTCTAGAAGTGTCGCGGAAGACACTTCTGGAAGTGTCGCGGAAGTCTCTTCTGGGGGGTGACGCAGAAGTCACTTCTGGAAGTGTCGCGGAAGTCTCTTCTGGGGGGTGACGCAGAAGTGTCACAGTTCTTCCCGACGGACGTCACTTCCGCGATCCGAAAGCGATAGTCGCGGAAGATAGTTTTATCTTCCAGAAGTCACTCAGAAGTGTCTTCCGCGATAGAAAAGGCTTGCAGGGTAATGTCTACATGTGCGTGTGAGTTTAAGCGACTAAAAAAAAACTTACGCTGATCTCATTCAAAAGATAGAATACACAAAGGACTAACTATAAAAAAAAAAACAAATATAGTGTATGGTTTCTAATAGTCATTTTAGATTTGTTTGTTATTTATCCATGTTGTTTGCCTTTACGTAATTATCTTTGCAACATTGTTGACCAAAGAAGACGAAAAAAAAAACAGTATTGGGAAGTGCAGGCGTGGGAATAAAAAAAAGAAAGGGAGAGAGAGGTTCACAGCATAAGCATGTGTGCTTTTGTGTATGTGTGGATGCTGGGAATTTTCCAAAAATTTCTAGACTGTCCTTTTTCTTTCAGAAATCCTTTTCCTTCTCTCTTCTTTCTCTTTCCCACTCTCTCCGTCTTTTACTCGCTGCATTTTTTTTTTGTTGTTTCCAAGTGTTTGCACTTCCGCTTTGGGGTTTTTATTTTGTTGCCTGGCGGCTTTTTGTCTTCTCTTTGCCTTTTCTCCCCACGTTGCATTTTACATATTTCGCTCTAGACATATTTTTATCTTTATCCACTGTATTTCTTTTTATTAATCGTGTCGTGTACTTCTCTTTTCCGTTCAGGCCCTCTCGCTCTAAGTTTGTTTGTCATTTAGAAAAGCAACACAAATACAAATGAATACGAAACAATAACAAAAATAAATAGCCTTAAAAGTTTTGTTTTTCTTTTTTGAGGCGTGCGCGCGTCGTTGACTTCTCTTTTGCGGGAAAGAGAGGGTGAAGAAAAGAGGTTGATTGTTTTGCGTTGTAGACTACTCTTCTCATTGTTTTTCTTATTGTTGTTAATTATTTGTTTCTCCCCTACTTGATTTTGGTTTTGTGGGTATTTTCCACTTTTACATTTAAAAACAAACCCGAAACCTATTTGAAAACTAAAGTGGTACATAATGGAAGAATATTGTAATGAATCTGGTTCTTGAAGATAAAAACATTCAGATTTGGAACATGGGAAATAAAAACAAAATTTGGTTCTTGGCATAACCGTATAAAGCAGTAAAGCAGTAAACTGATCTTGGAGAACTTAATGTGATCTAAAAATATGATAATAACCAATGACTAAACAGTTTCTGTTAGACTATGTATTTAAGAACTTCAAAAATTATCACCCTAGTTAATATTATTTGAAAAAGTCCCTAACATGTTAATAAATTTGTTTATTTGTACTTTGTTTTCCAGCTAACCAAGCTCTTTGGAATGGCACCTGGAAAGGAGCTCTCACCTACGAATGCCGATCGCTGCTTTTCAAGGCGCTGCACAATCTCATGGAGAGGTACTGTTATTCATAGATTAAAGCAAGATCAAATCTAAATCTTTGTATTAATTGCAGGTTTGTGCTCACCAAAGACATTGTGCGGTTTGGCAAATGGTTTGTGCAGCCCTGCACCTCCAGCGATCGTCTCTTTGGACGGAGGTAAATAAATAAATATTCAAAATGTTTACAATCGAAGTTTGGATAAAGGCCTCAAATTGAATGTGAAAATGCTGAAAACTTCGTCCAATTCGCAAAATGGCCACAATCCTAGATTAAAGATCAGGAACTCTGTGTAAGGACATTGAAGCTTGTGACCTTGCATCGTTCTTCCTGCGACATTTTAAAGATCTTTCTTAACTTCTGATAGCCGAAAAATAATACTGCTTATGTAGTTTGCTTCCTACATTACGAAATTGATTATGAAACATTTTATCAGACTGATTGATAAGGTTTTATGGATCTGTAGTATAATAATTATGGTTTTAGTGTAGTTTCGAGACATCAATGAATTAATTAATAAGAAAATAAATCAATTTAGAAGAGGGTTACTAATAATTAATATATTCCTCTCTGATAATACCTTTTCTAACTCCTCTGATTTTGTTTACTTTTAGCTCCCAGCACCTGTCCTTCTCATTCACGTTCTTCGTTCATGGGGACACCGTTTGCGCCTCCATTGATCTACGCGAACATCCCGCCGTTCGACCGCTGACCAAGGAGCATTTGGCCGAGGCGGCGGCCGCCTTTGCAGCGGCCAGTTCGCCGCCAGGCTCGACGGGATCGGCGGCGGCGACAGCGGGCGGTGGAGCAGTGCCTAATCCCGGCCAGGATCCGAATGGCGCCGGCATAGAGCCACTGGACGGTGGCGAGGGAGGAGCGGCCAAGGCGGCACCGCCGGCGCATGCGCGCAAGGTGATGTTGGCCCCCTTCGGAATCGCGGCAATACTCACTGGGAATAGCTACAAGGCCAGCGATCCGATAGCCGAGAAGATCCTCGAGGATTGGGCCTCGTTTTTTCCGCTGTGCAATAAGGACAACACGGATGTGCCACCCGTGGTGGAAGTGGTGTCGGGTAAGTAAATTCGCTTAACTAATTTTTAACTTGGAACTAAATTCTTTATCTTAATACTGCATTCCCCAGGTGGACATAAGATGTATCATCCCACGAACTACGTACTAGTCACAGATCTGGACGACATGGAGCACATGGAGTTTATCGAGATGCAGAAGATGCAGAGCTCTGTGGGCGGAGCGGCGGCTGAGGCAGCAGTTTTGTCCTCGCTCTCCTGCCCGCCGGGTGCTGCATCAGCTCCGCCTTCTTCCTTGGGAGCAGGAGTAGGAGTAGCAGCAGGACCCTCGTCGGCAACAGCGATTCCAGTGGGTCCCGCTTCACTCAACGCTCCCGGTGGAGGAGGAGCAGCTGCAGCATCCGCTTCCTCCGCCTCCACCAAAGAGGCATCCCGCAAGGCAGCTCCCCAAGCGGTCAGCGCATTGGAGCGTCTCGCCTTCCAGCCCTACTACGATCAACGGCCCACCTCGGGCTTCACCTTCAATACCAACAATACTCACATACCCGCCTCGGCTGCCGTTGAAATGCCAGAGCGAACCTGGCAGGATTGCGTGATGAACACGCTTCATGTGGACGCAGCAGCAGCAGCAGCGGCGGCAGCAGCAGCGACATCAGCAGTGGCATCCTCCACACCCTCCGCGGGAAGTGGTCCGCCGGCAGATGGGAACGATGAGAACGAGCAGAACAAACCGCCGCAGCAGCAGGATTCCAAGCAACTGGTGCAGCAGCAAATCCAACAGCAGCAGCAGCAGCAGCAACGTCAGAAGCTCTGGAACTTTGTGGATCCCATGCAGAAGGCGCCCTGCATATGCACCAAGTGAGTTTTGTTCCATTAGTTTAACTTAAGAACATTTGTAGAAGTGATTCCCCGCCCTGTTACTTTCTCTCCTTATGATTGGGGGTATCCTCCATTCTCTGAAGGTTTTAAAACTACAGTTTAAGTGTCTGAAATTGTCTAAAATAATATTTATTTGGTAGTTTGTATGTTTCTTTGAGTTCGTTTGTTGTAATTGATTGTTAACCAGATAGTCTCCAGCGCAGGGTGGTTCTTCTAATCTGTTTGAGACTATTTAAATGCTATACAGCTTCTTATTAAACAAACAAAGCCTTTTGTGAATATTTTTAGACACCTAAATTAGTGAACTTTAGGTCTAAACTTTCTAGAGATATTGGAAATACCTTTCTTCCCTTCTTGCGCGTTTTTTTTCGAATGTTTTTTGACCGAAAAGCTTTTTGCTGATCCTAATAATAAGCCTAATAAATTTTTGCTCATAATGATATTGAATTTGACCCATAAAATAAATGAAATTCTGCTCCCTCAATGAACCTTTAAAAAACCCTTAAAAAAACCCACAAAAAACCCAAAAACCCGCTTTGATGGCATGCCTAAAACAAAAAGTTCCTTTACCTTAGCAAACTGTAGGCAGTTAAAGTCGGTAGTTGACCTTGTTTTTACTGTTATCTGTGCATGCGATAGGCCATAGATTTTTCCGTTTTTTTTTCTATACAAATTTGAGTTTTTCTTTGAGTTACCTAACCCACACAGAGGCAACAAATAACTTTAACTTGAGGCAAACGACAAAGCTACGAAAGCGAAACGTTGAAAATTGTGTTGCTAGTCTCTAAAACCAAACAAAAAAAAATACCCAACAAACAAATTTCAGCGCCCAATGCAGCAGCAGTAGCAACAGCAACAGCAGCAGCAGCAGCAGCAACAGTAGCAACATCAACATTATCAACAACAAGCGGCAACAGCAATCGCTGGGATCGCCGGCATTGCGAGCAGCAGTTACCGGTGCCAGTGGCAATAAGTCGTCGTCATCCTCCTCCTCATCGTCGTCGTCGTCCGCGACGTCCTACCAGCAACATTACCACCAGCAACATCTGCAGCAGCAGCAGCAACAACAGCGACCGGGAACACCTGTGCCTTCGGCAGCGACAGCAGCAGCAGCAGCAACATCGCAACATCATTCCAGTTCCCTGAGCAACACTTCCGCCTCCAATTCTTCCGCGACCGCCGCCCTCCTCCGCCGCCACAATGTGCCGTTCCACAAGCGGTTGCTCCACTCGCTGGCGTCCACCGCCTCCTCCTCCTCCACCTCGTCGTCGGGCGCGTTTAGAGCCAAAAACCACAGCAACACCACAACAGACACCAATATACCAAAACAAAGGTTTGTGTGTTGAGTGGAGTGAAGTGAAGTGGCGTCTGTTCATTATAGCCAGTGCTGCCTATGTTTTTAGTTTAACGCTATTCAGTTATCTCTATTTCTTATTTCATATACGGTTGCGGTCAAAGTAAAAGCACCTAGAATTTTTAAAAGAATTTCATGGGATTATACGTGATAATCGTAATTGGAATATGCTTAAAAAATGCTAACAAACTTCAAAAAAAAAAAAAAAAAAAAATAATATAAATAGAAATCCACTCAAAGAATTCCTGGACTATGAATTGTAAATGTTATTTACTTATTGAAGATTTTAATATTTTTTTGATTAAAAACCAATAAATTAAGTGAGTATTAAGTGAAAGGTGACTTTGAAGTGCTATTATCTTGACCGCCTCTGTATATACCACCCGTCCTCCTACTTTCGCTCTTTATCCACATTATATATACTTTTCTATCCACTCTCTTCACACGCTCTGTTAACCTTATGATTTCTTATGTTTATTATTTTGTTGGTTGGTTTTGAGCATATTATTTCTGCCCCCTAACAAAACACACTGGAATTAAAGAGTGGCGCATTCAAAAATTCACCACGCCCCCTTACCTTAAAAAAAAAAAAAAAGGGTCAGCACACACACACAAACATTCGCGCGTCGCCATTTTGCAATAACAATTTCTAATTCACTTGGTAAATGGTAAATTAGCAACATTAAATATGAAAAGAAAGCAACGCTAAAACACAAACGACTGCAAGCAACGAATAAAATAACAAATTGTATAATATTCTCGATTTTTGAAGGGCATACAACACGTTTCGTAGCATTTAACTAGCTTAGTATCTACTGCCCCCCACTCTTGTTCACCCCCCAAAAAACAAAAAACAACAAAAAAATCCACTCCCCCATTGCCGTTCTCATTTTCTCATGGCCCGTTTTGCAAGTACTCGATACTGGATTAAGTTCGAGTACCTTGTGGATACTCGGTTTTGAGTACTTTGGTTTTGGTGCCGCATGCATCTTTGTTTTATTCTTCTAGGTTGTATGCATTTTGGAATGATTTATTTCGCTGGTTTCCTAATTTGTAAATAACAAATGCATATATAATATATTCAATATGAGTGTTGTAGAGTTCTCTAAAGTTGATGAGAAAATTCATTTGAGTGTTGCAAAGCAAATTTGAAATATTTGTAGCATAGCAAAATAAATTATTTTTGTTTTTTCGAAATGGTTTTTGAGTTACTTATTTGAAATTTGATTGAAGGCACTTTAGTATTTAGTTTTCCGTATAAACTTTAGAGATTTCACCTAGCACTCCTTATAAATACATTTATTTTGCAGATGTGAAGGTTTCGTTAATTTATTTAAACCTTAAACATTGGATGTGGTTTTTGTTTAATTATGCTTATGGTTACTTTGGGGACACTTCATTCGCTGAAGCAACCCGAACATAAAATATATATACTATTATTTCAAATGATTAATATACACGCAGACATGTGTGTCCATAGCTACATTATCCGTAGTTAGAGCATTGTACATAACCTACCTAAAACAGAGACACCACTTAACTGGATAATATATATATTTAATAACCACGCTAATTACAATGCTTCTCTTTTTTCCCCAACAGACATCTGGGGAATACACCGCATGGAACGCCGCACGGCGGAGCGTCGACGTACTCCCGCAACTCCTTGGGTGGCGACTCCTCGATGCCGGTGGCCTCCGTGGAATCCCCGGCGACGCCGGCACCCTCTCCTCATCCCAATTCGGCGCACTCGCAACCGACATCCGTGCCGCCCGCTGAGCAAGTGAGTGCAAGTGACGACCCAAAACAAAAGACAGAATCCCCCATTCAGCTGAATTCCACTAACACGTTGTTCTCTTTCTCCTACGTCATAGCTGCTCAACATGAGTCCACATGCGCCCACTTCCGTCTCCAATCTGCAACAGCCGCCGACGCCAATTGACCACCTGCTGGACAAGAATACTCCGGCGCCAACGCCGACGGACCAGCACGACAGCAAGAGCATAACGGCCTCGCCCTACGTCCACCAGACGCCCAGTGTGGAGCCGCCCTCGTACACGGATCACGCAGCCGGCGGCGGCGGAGCAGCAGGTGGCCAATCCCTGGGCACGGGTCCTGGCAGTGTGCCCACCCAGCAGCCGGCCACTCCGACGGCGGCAAGCTCAGCCGGAGGAGCAGGACCTGGTGGAGCGGGAAATGCCATGGGAGGAGGCTCAACAGTGGGCACAATTAGTGTCAAGAAGCTGGAGATGCAGCAGCAGCAGCAGAATCCAACGGCGGCGGCCATGGCGATCAAACAGGAGCCGGGAACTCAGGGTCGGGGGACAGCAGGAGGAGTCACCTCCACTGCCGAGGCCTTGAACAACCTGAGGCGATTGTACAGTCCACCTAAACTTACGCTGAAGGATCCGGATAGCTTCTACGACGACGAGTGGCTCAAGGAGGTCATCTATGACTTTCAGTACCAGGAGAACTGGTGAGTTGTGATACATAATCCTTCTATATATTATTGTAATATCTGTTTTTCCTTCAATCAGGGATTATCTGACCGTTAAGCGTCCGAAGTTGGATGAGGTTTCCAAGCAGCGGCGGCCCAGGTATGCCAAGAACCTGTACGAGGGACACACGCATGTGAAGCCACTGATGCCGTCGCCCGGATCCGTTTATGGCTCGCAGCTGCTCTCCTTGGATGTTTCCGCCAATTCAGCGGGCGTTGGAGGATCGGCGGCGGGCAGTTCCAGCGGTGGCCTGGTGGGCATTGCCAACAGCACGGCGAATGGCGGCGATGCGGAAGCGGAGAGCGGAAGCAGTTTCTTTCCGGGACTGGACATCAAGACGGAGCCCGGTTTGCATTCCCCCTCGTGCAAGGACACCTCGAAATCCTCCGGCGGCGGCAACAGCAGCGGCGGAGGAAGCGGTGGCGGGAATCTCTTCACCGCCGAGGGTCTGAATCCGTCGCTCAACGATCTGGAGCAGTTGTTCGAGACGAGTTCGAACGACGAGTGCAGCAGTGTGCAGATCCACACGCCGCCCGACTCCAACAATCCCTCGAACGGCGGCTGCAGTGCTGTGACCAATACGATCGAGGACCTCAAGCGGAGCACGGCGGTGGCCAGTGCGGTGGTGGCAGCAGCGGCGGCGGCAGCAGCAGCAGCAGCGGCCGCCTCGGGAGCGGGCAACATCCAGGCGGAGGATCTCACCAAGATGTTTCCCACGCCGCCGTCGCACGAGCAACAGCACCCGAACTCGAGTCCCTGCCAAACGGACGTGGTGATGACGGATCTCAGTGTGGACACCACCACGACCAGCATAACGTGCAGCAGCGGCGGCAGTGGCATAACAACCTCCTGCAACACGACATCCATCACGAGCAGCATCAACACCTCCTCCACCACCGGCTGCAGTAGCAGCAACACCAGCAGCAGTATTATCCTGGCAGCCGTGCAACAACAAGCGCCCGTCGCCATGGTGGCCATCCAAACGGTGTCCTCCAAGCTGGTGAAGCAGGAGTACAACCTGGAGCTGGGCAGCCCCAAGGAGGAGGCCATCGAGGACTGGAACTTTGTCTACCGACCGCCGCAGCAGGAGAAGTTTGTGGGCTCCACGCGCTACGCTCCGCTGACCAACCTGCCCAGCCAGACGCAGCCGCCGCTGAATCTGCCGCCGGAGTGCTATTACCAGCCCACCTGGAGCAGCCACAAGTCGCGGGCGGCCACCCTGGCCAAGGCGGCGGCGGCGCAGCAGCAGCAACACCAGAAGCACCAGGCGCTGCAGCAGCGCATCCAGTTGCACCAGCAGAAGCTGCAGCAGTTCCAGCACCAGCACCACCAGCAGCAGCAACAGGCGGCAGCGGCAGCAGCGGCGGCAGCGGGAGGCGGAGGCCACCAGAAGCATCAGCAGCACCAGCATCAGCATCTCCACGATCTTCTGTCGGCGGCACCGAGGACGCCGCTCACCCCGTCGACGGTTCCCCAGCCGCTGAGCAGTGGCGGCAGCCAGTTGCTGTTGAACCAACTGAATTGCCCACAAGCGCCGCCCGGCAGCTCCATGCAGCAGCTGATGCAGCGAGCGGGAATGTCACCTATATCGCCTGGACCTGGCATGGGTCCCTATGGAGCGCGGAGTAGTCCCATGTCGCGGCAGACGCCGACGCATCCGCCGCCGCCTTATCCCTACGACTTGGCCGTGGCTAGTCCGGCCACCTCCACGTCCTCGTACTTGAACCGGCCGCTCCACTCGCAGGAGCATCCAGGAGCAATGCACGGCATGGGCGGCGGAGGAGGAGGAGGAGGAGCAGGAGGAATGGGTTCCGGAGCAGGAGGTGGCGGCGGCGGACACATGGGCATGATGCCCTACACTGGCGATGCGGGCATTGCCAGTGGTGGTGGATCCGCCACAGCCACAGCTGCCGGATCGTCCAGCCTGCTCCAGGAGCTGCCCGAGGTGAACTCCGTGCTGGTGAACATCCTGCTGTACGACACCGCCTTGAACGTCTTCCGGGATCACAACTTCGACAGCAGCAGCGTGTGTGTGTGCAATGCGGATACGCAGAAGATTGGCAATATACGTGGAGCGGATTCCGGGGTGTATGTACCCCTGCCCGGCATCAGCTTCAATCCGTTCCCCAGCGGAGGAGGCGCAACGGGAGGAGGAGGAGCTGGCGGAGGAGCTGGACAGCGGGTGGTGAATGGACCCAGTTCCGCCGGCGGCGGCTTTGGCGGCATGCGGATGCTAAGTGCCTTTGGGGGTTCGCCGGCCTCCGCCTCGATGCCCGGAGCTGGCTCCGGACATGGCCACGGCCCGAACGGCGGCTCCAACTCGTCGTCCTGCACGCCGCCCAGCAGCTATCCCCACATCACCGGCTACGTGGACGACGATCCCGTGGAGTGTACGTGCGGCTTCAGTGCGGTGGTCAATCGACGCCTCTCGCATCGCGCCGGACTCTTCTACGAGGACGAGGTGGAGATCACCGGCATAGCGGACGATCCGGGCAGGAACAAGCAGCCGTCGCTGTTGAGCATCATCCAGAGTCTCAGCAGAAAGAACCAGATGAAGCAGCAGGGACCTGGCGGAGAACCGAGTTCCGCCTTGGAGAAGGCGGGAGGAGCGGGCGGAGTGGCGGGTGGACAGCTGGAGCAGCTGGCCCACGCCATCTTCGACCTGCTGCTGGACCAGTGCTCCACCATCCAGACGTCCAGCAGCTCTGTGCACCGAGCTCTCCAGGCGCATCGAAGGCGGATGTCGCGTCAGCGCAGGATCTTCGGCACCAATGGAGCTCCCACCGCCTCGCTGGCTTCGATTGCCAATGTTCTGGAGTTCATGGATGCGCACGACGTGATCAGCTTGGCCTTGGAGCAGGCGAGGCTGGCGTTCGAGAACCAGCGGATGGACAACATGATGGACTTTCACGGGAACGGAAGCAGCAGCTCCCACCAGCAGCAGCAACTCACGGCGTTTCATGCACCGCCGCCGGCACTGCGTCACAAGCTGGCGGGGATTGGCGCTGGACGGTTGACGGTGCACAAGTGGTCGTACCTCCCGGTGGGATTCACGCGAAGCAACAAGGAGATTGTGCGCACCATGAACGCCATCCAGCCGATGCTGCAGAACGCCTTCCACTGCAAATCGCGAGGTGGCTCCGGCTCCAAGGATGCCAGTTCGTACAACACGGTGAGTGGACCGCTCACCTGGCGGCAGTTCCATCGCCTGGCGGGTCGTGCCTCCGGACAGTGTGAACCGCAACCCATTCCATCCGTGGTCGTGGGTTACGAGAAGGACTGGATCTCGGTGGCGCCGCAGTCCATCCACTACTGGGATAAGTTCCTCCTGGAGCCGTACTCCTATGCCCGGGACGTGGTCTACGTGGTGGTGTGTCCGGACAACGAGCATGTGGTGAGTTGCACCCGGAGCTACTTCCGCGAGTTGGGCAGCACCTACGAGATGTGCAAGTTGGGCAAGCACACGCCCATTCGGGGATGGGACGGTATCCTCCAGGTGGGCGCAGCTCGCAATGTGCCCGCCGATCGGGAGACCACTCCGCTGGACGACTGGCTGCGCACCCTGGAGCACGCTGCTCTGGCCGAGCAAATCCGTCGCTATGCAGTGGCCTTCATTCACCAGTTGGCTCCTTACTTGAGTCGCGTGCCCAATGATAAAACGCTACTCAATCCACCGGATGGCACTGGGAATTCCAACTCGAAGGGAGGAAGCTCTTCCTCCTCGAACACTTCATCGGCCAGTGGATTGCCCGGGGGGGATTTGCCCACGGATAACATCAAACTGGAACCGGGAACGGAGCCACCAGTTCAGCCGATGGACACCAACGAAATCAAACAGGAACCGGGAGCGGCGGGCAAGGGAACCTCTGCAGCAGGTGACACCAAGCCGGCTCTCATCCTGGGCGATCCACTGGGCATGGGCGAGACCCTGGAGGACATCAATCCGTCGGCCATCGTTCTCTATGTGGTGAATCCCTTCACCTTCGCCTCGGACAGCAGTGAGTTGGAGCGATTGGCTCTGATTGCCTTGCTCCGTTGCTATGCGGAGTTGCTGAAAGCTGTTCCGGATTCGGTGCGAGCGCAGATGAACATCCAGATCATATCGCTGGAGTCGGTGATGGAACTGGGACCGTGCGGCAACCGGAAGCGCTTCTCCGACGAGATCAAGTGCCTGGCGTTGAACATCTTCTCGCAGTGCCGTCGCCATTTGGTCCACGCTCAATCCGTGAAAAGTTTGACGGGCTTTGGAACGGCGGCCAAAATGGAGGCGTTCCTCAAGACCAAGGACGAGCCGAATCGGCGAGCGTACAAGATGTACACCGCCCCGTTTGTCCTGGCGCCGATGCACGAGAGGAACGACAAGACGGACTTCTCCCGATCGGCGGGCAGTATGCACGGTCAGAACGAGCATCGCTACTCGGTGATGTACTGCAACTACTGCCTGAGCGAGGATCAGGCCTGGCTCCTGGCCACCGCCACCGATGAGCGGGGAGAGTTGCTGGAGAAGATCTGCATCAACATCGATGTGCCGAATCGGGCGAGGCGAAGAAAGGCGCCCGCTCGCTACGTGGCACTGAAGAAGCTGATGGACTTCATCATGGGCATCATCTCGCAGACGTCGCAGATGTGGCGTTTGGTCATTGGGAGGATCGGCAGGATTGGTCATAGTGAGCTGAAGTCCTGGAGCTACTTACTGAGCAAGCAGCAGCTCCAGAAGGCATCCAAGCAGTTCAAGGACATGTGCAAGCAGTGCACTCTCATGTATCCACCTACCATTTTGAGTGCCTGCCTGGTGACCCTCGAACCGGATGCCAAGCTGCGCGTGATGCCCGATCAGTTTACTCCGGATGAGCGCTTCTCGCAGATCTCCATGCAGAATCCGCTGGCGACGCCGCAGGACGTGACCTGCACCCACATCCTGGTCTTTCCCACCAGCGCCGTTTGTGCAGTAAGTTTGTTGAGATATTCATAAAGGAATAAATATAATCAGTATATGTTTTCTTGTAGCCCTTTACCCGCCAGTTCCAGAATGAGCCGCAAGTGGATGATGACTTCCTGACCTTCGAGGAGGAGGGCAACGAGGACTTTAGCGATGCGGATATTGGCGATCTCTTCTGGGACCGTAAGTGTTTGCTAACTTAAATGCTGGCTTAGAGTTACTTAAATTTCTTTCTGTTTAAAACAGCTCACATAGACAGAGTTTCCAATCACGGAAGTCCGGGACGAATGGACGACAATCGGAGCTGGCAAAGCGCCGGTGGCAATAACTTCAAGTGCACACCGCCCCAGGAAGTGGAGGAGGTTGGTGTTTAAATACATATAGATTACCCCATGATATTTACTAATTATTCCTTCATTTCAAAGGTTGGATCACTCAATCAGCAGCCGATTTCGGTGGGCTACATGGTGTCCACGGCGCCAACGGGTCGAATGCCCGCCTGGTTCTGGTCCGCCTGTCCGCACCTGGAGGATGTGTGCCCCGTGTTCCTGAAGACCGCCTTACACCTTCATGTGCCCAGTATACAGACTGCCGATGATATTCTCAACTCGACCAATGCCCATCAGTCGGCCAACGATCATCCGTTGGACTCGATTCTCACGGCTGATGTCCTGCGCTTCGTCCTCGAGGGATACAATGCCTTATCCTGGCTGGCCCTCGACTCCAATACACACGATCGCCTATCCTGTCTGCCCATCAATGTCCAGACGCTGATGGATCTGTACTATCTGACGGCTGCCATAGCCTAAGGTCCTAAGGTCCGGGAACTCAGACTTCAGATCTCAGATCGCAGATCACAGAACACCGGATCATCTCAAAACTGAATCAATCAAAAGCAGTCGCATGCTTCCGTTAGCAGAACTTCCACTAGCTATATCAAACCTCTAAGAAGAACATCAAACATCAAACAGAAGACAACAACAGAACAACAAAATCTACAACAGAATTATAACACCAAGCAACCAAGAATCGAAGTTAACAGAATCCAAAAACACCAAACAGAAAAACATGAGCAATAGCAGCAGCAGTTAACGCAACGCACAGATTACTTAGCATAATGAACATGAAAACAAAAACAAAGTAAAAACAAAAACAAAACAAAACAAAACGAAAGGAAACATGAGATCACCGATGAAGAGAGCGGCAGATATAACTTTTATCGTCTACCGATAAGTCTTGAACAGCAACAGCATTACTATTTATTAATCGTCGAGAATTTGTAAAAGTGTCAAGTGCAAGAATTGTTTGTTTAATTTTATTTTTTTATACATATATACATAGGCTGGCGTTCGATTAGTGTTTAATATTTATAAATATACAAATACGAGGAGCGATTGATGAGGAATAGCGAAAAGCAAACAACAACAACAACAACAAACAACCACACACATGTAGGCATATAGGTTATATACAATAGGCGGAGTGGAGAACAGCGAGTAACGTATTTAGCTTAAGTAACAAAGTTTGTACATATTTACAACCAATTCGCCGTAAGCAGCAGCAACAGCAACAACAAAGCAAAACAGAAGTGTAATTATACAATTAGTATCTAGTTTACAACAAATTGAACGAGGAGAAGGAGGAGGAGGAGAAAGAGAAGGAAGATAAGAAGAAGAAGAAGGAGGCCCTATTTAAATCTAATAAATTAAATCAATAAATTGTGTAAATTTTTGTGCAAAGCGAGAATTAGTTTAAATTTAAATTATACAAGAAGAAAGTGTAAAAACCAACCCCCCAAACACACGCATTAAACACCCCCACACGATGGAAACAAACAAAACATATAATTAACTGAAACGGTATACTGTAAATTGCATATATAAAAACTATATATATCTGGACGCCAAGCGCAGATGATGAAGGACGAGTAGGAGTAAGAGGAGGAGGAGGAGAAGGAAGAGGACAGGATTAGAGTAAGGATGAGCGTTAGGAAGAGTTTTTAATTTCGTGTATTTTGTGTGTCCTTTTTTGTTGTCTCTTGTATTCTTATAATCCTAGGGAAACATTTGTACTTCACACGGATACTGAACACACCCACAATCCAACCCCCACACACACACAAACACACACCACTCACATAGCCAATTTTCTAATAATGAAATACTTAAACGAAAATGTGTACAAATTAATAATAATGCTTGTAAAGAACGGGAAAGCTTTCTACACTCACCAACAAAAAAACACAACAACAGAATTGATTTTGCACGTTGAAACGATTTTCGCTAGGCTTAAGTTAAAAACAAAATCAATTAAGTAAAAAATGGAAAACAATTATTAAACAATGAAATTATTTTTACCTGTGTATTTTAATTAGCATAAATTGTGTAAACAACAAAACCTACGATTACAAAGACGTTTTCTAGTAATTACCAACACCAACATAGAAACACACACACACACACCCCCATATGCATATCTTTTAAGTAGTTTCGATTTCATTTAGTATTCTATTATTTGTGTAATAAACCGAACTTATTTGCAAACCTGATTTTTCATTATTTCATTTCATTCCGTATCCTATCGCTCAGATCCCCCGATTTCCCGATCCCTAGTAGATCATCCATATCTATATATCACGCAAGTGCACGCTGTAAATACGGAACCGCTTACAATCATTTTCTAGAGATCGATATTATCGTGCTTGCCGAGTTTTTCCTAGCTAAGGTTTCAGTTGCCACACACTCTTCATTCATTTCCCGGGAAATCAAAGTCCCCGGTCGCCAATAAAAGCAAATAATTATAGCAATAATTAAGTGTAAAGCACAACAAATGTTTAACGATTAAAGAGAAAAAAACAAACTCGAAACATTTACCGCAACAATTGACAACAAGCATTCATAGCAAACAAAACCAAAACCAAAAAAAAAAAAAGGGAAAAAATATATATGGATTAAAAACCAAAATGGGAACAGTTTTTTAATAAACAAAACTCAGTTTACGAGTTGAAAATTTTCTAAATAACGATTAGCTTAAACTAAGGACAAAACACAATTCAGTTGGAAATGAAGTTGAGGAAATGAGAGCGACTACAAGTTATACACGTTCATTGTAAAGTTAATTAAGGGCAAGTTCAAGGCTTGAGAACTAATTAAAGATTAAACAAAACAAAATAAAACAAAGAAAAAAAAAACGAAAAAACCACAAAAAGCAAATGAAAATACAAACAAAAAAGTGCATTAAGCGTTGACGAGGAAAACCATTTACTAGCCTAGCCTAAAAGTATGCAATTATTAAGTTAAATTAGTTTCGAGGGCATCTAAAATTAAGATCCCAAAAATCCACAAGGATGAAGGACGCGGGAAGCAGGAGCAATTTGGATTAAAGAATGACATTTGTTTATAAAACAAATGAGAGCGCATGTTATAGACACCATACACACTATATATACACATATATATCGAGATTGGGTACGAGAACATGAATGTCAAAATCTAGCTACAGAATTGCATATTATATATTATATACAATTAAATATTATATAATGGGCAAAAACAAAATGTTGTTGTAGTGAAATTACAATTAAGTTTTGTTTTGCTACCAAGTCAGAAAGGAAACAAGAGAAAAATCGATGAGCAAATAGCAAAGGTCAAAAGTGGGTCAAATTTTAAATGTGCAAAGCAAACACGAGAAAAACTTAAGAGAAAAACAAATGAAAAAACGAAATGCAATTTTTTGTAATTTCTTTACAGATTATAGATTTGTTTTGGCAAGCAGGCGATAACAAATACAAACTAAAAAACCATTTTTCAAATAAAACTAACATCAAATTCAAAACGTAACGTGGTTTTCTTATAATGGTATGACGGGTTTTCTTTTTTGGAATCCTTTTTAGAATCCTGGCATTACCAAATAGGGTGTCCCAGGATCTTGTAACTAAGTTCCCTCCTCGAGATTGCAATCCTTTCATCTCTGCATCATATTAACTTATGATGTATTGACTTGTTTTCTTTTTGCAATTCTAGTTTTACACTGGCATTACCGCATCTTGTAATAATTGCGTAATTTGGTATCCAACTTAGTTCCTCCCACATGGTTGGAATCTTCCCATCTCCTCATCACATTTACGTTGTTTTCTAATGATGACATTAAGTGTTTTTTTTTGTTAATCCTTGTTTTACACTGGAATTACCGAATGGGGCGTCCAATGATCTTGTAATAGTCGCGCAATTTTGTGGCAAACTCAGTTCCGCCCGCATGATTGCAATCTTCCCATCTTTGCATCATAATGTCAAGTTCGTAGGGGTTGCTCAAATGCTCCAAGTCATCTGCAATTAAAAAAAAAATTAAGTAGTTTAAAACCAAAATGATTAACTTGGGGATATGAATTTCTGTTATATTTGTATAACACTCAAATTTCCAGAACTACTTACTAACAACCACCTCCTTGACCTCCCACTCAAAATCGTAGCGTCGGCTGAGAAACTGAAGCACCACCAGAAGATTGGAAGCCTTCAACTTGGGTGTGATATTGTGTTCCGATAGGATTTCGTCATCCATCCAAAGGGTCAGACGACTTAGCATCCGGGCAGTGTTGTCCCGAATGTCAGTCAAAGTTTGTAGAATTTTCGACATCGTAGTCAAAGGACGTTGAAGACGATAATACAAATTTTGGAGACGCTTCTCCGTGGATTGAAGTTCCCTTCTGGAGCCCGCGTTGTTCAGGTTATTCTCGGTGGTAAATAATCGGAGGTATAAGGTCTTTATCTGATTCATGGTCGTTCGGCCATTCTGAATAGCATGTTGCCATTGCTCCGCATTTCTCCACACCATCTCGGACATCTCGAACAACTCAAGTTTGGCTTTCTTAATATTCATTTTTCGAAAAGCAGAACGAACGCAATTAAAAATTAAATAAAATTAAACACCATAAATAGAATGCGCAAATTCGGTGAAAGCTTCCAGGGCTGATTTTTTCAGGGTTGCGAAGCAGAGAATGAAGACATTTGCAGGGATGTATTGGACTGTCAAATGAAGTTTGACAGATATCAAAGTGGTTTTAATGACTCTGCCCATTAAAAACTATTTAATTTAAGTTGTGCTTATAAAAGTAAATATTGTTCATACAAACACTTGAAGAATTTCTATTGGATTTTACTTGGTGTGCATTCTCCTTTTAGCTCCTTAATTTCTCTCCTTTTGCGGTTGGATTGCGTGCTAAATTGATCAAGTGGCCATGATTAAGCAGCCGACTAACTTTAGCCGCATTAATTGCGATCATGTTGGCCCCGCCCCCCGTTACTGCCGCCCCCCATTCCACTATTTACAATTAGCTGCGTGACGAAGGCGCAGAAAAAACTAGGAACCGATTTTCACTCGGTTTATTTTTGGCTGGAATTGGTGTGGGGATCTCGAGATGGAGCCTGGAGAATGGGGAATGGGGAACGGAGCTGGAATGGCTGTCAGGCGGCATGAATTACTGTGCGTTGATTGCCTTTAAGGCCTGATTGCAACAGCACCAACAACTTTGGCACAAATTGCTGGCTGCTGTTCTTTTACATTTATTTTCATTTTGGCGGCATGCGGCAAACGGGTTTTCGGGACGTTTGTCCCCCAGTTTTTTGTTCGCTCCCCCCGCCCACTCCTCCTTCAACCGACTGCATTAATTATCAACAAATCATTTTTGCAGCACCGAAAGCCACATTTATCAGCGATTATGCATGGACAAAGGAGCCGGGCTCATTGGACGGCGGACGGAGGACAGCGGATGCTCCACAACTGGCGGGTTGCAAGTGTCGCCCGACATGTGTTGCGGTCTCTCATTGGTGTGGATGTCGATGTGGATGCCATGTGGATCGAGATGGCGATCTTGACGTGGAGCCACACAAATTTGTCAGAAAGGAGGTGAGTTCACTCAACGAAAAAATAAAACTTACAGTTAGTGGTCATTTTCATATTTGCAAATTTATATTTATTTCTCTTTCTATTATTTATTTTATTAATAAAAATGATTTTTAAATGTTTAAAGTATACAAAATTTTATAATAATGTTGTATGCAAATTGTATATTTATTTATAAAATATTTATCATAGTAAATATTTTTAAAAAGGTTAAAAAGATAGTTTGGTAGTTACAACTCATGAAAATAAGATGTTTTTTTTAAAATAACTTTGAATAAAAGCATTTCTTTTTATGTCTTTCTACCATAAACCCCTTCCAGCAAATACTTATTAATGTTTTGTTTACAGTGCAGAATAATATAAAGCAATATTCTTGTTTTTTTGCTCTGCGCTTTTGGAGGGCTTTGAGCTCAGGGCGTCGGCGACATGACATGGCATTGATAAGAGCAAAAAAATCGAATCGAATCGAATCGCCGCCGTCGCAGACTCGCAATTAAGATATTTTTATGTAAATTAATGGAAGCTCTTGAAGGAGCGAGGAGCGAGGGAAAGGAAGAATCCCGATTAAGGAGACGAAGCTGGAGCATGCGTGCAACTTACAAATAAGTACAAGTCCCGTCGATTGGGCAGCCGTAGCCCCAATTGCGCATTTTTAATTGGAAAGCTCTGAGAAGAACGAAAAGTCCGCCAAGTGGAGAGGTAAACAAAAAGTGACGCACCGAAAATTTATTGTTCCAAGGCAGAGTTGGCTGTTGGCTGTTGGCAGTTCAAGCGGATCCAAGGCGATCCGATCCGATTCGAGGAGCCGCATGTCGAATGGCGAGTGCAAACAGCAAAAAGGCCGCAGGCCGCGAAAAGAAGACGATTCCTCCTCGTCTTCGGCATTGTTCCCGCATCTTTGGGCTCTTTGGTTTCTTTGCGTTCTTAATGCTCCTCGGAGCTTGGAGCTGGGAGCTCGGAGCTCTCTTACTTAGGCATTTATGTCTGGCACTTGACACATTTTGTTATGGCATTTTTCAGCTACCGCGCGGACTCCTCCGACTCCCAATCAAAATTCCTGGGCCTTGCACTTGAATGCGTTTAATTGGTAAGGTTTGTTCTGGGTCGACCAGCCAAGTGTTGAACTTTATGTTCTTGCAGCGCCGAACAGAACATTAATCCTCAAGGTTTTTTATCTTAAGCTCTTGATTACCGAAAGGTTATGCCGAAGTCTAGAAGTTTTTGCTAAAAAAATCTTGTGATTATTAGTTCGAAACCAATCCAACCTTACTAAAAAGTAGTAAGTATTTAATTAAGATGAAAATAATTTAAGTTATCTCGGCTATTAAAAAACATCTTTTAAATTAAGGTAACATTTTAATGGCTAAAACTGAATATGATTTTATTGATCAATGAATGATAATAGAAAAATCTCCATAGTAAACTGCAGGAAATGCTGCTAACCTCACAAGTGAGTAGTGAAACCATTTTGCAATTTCCTCCGAAGATCATTTGGATGTTGTTTTCATCCATTTTCCATTACACCGTTTCGCATTTCCGATCCTCGTCCGGTCTTCTGTGGCAACCTGCAAGCCAAAAGAGCAGCCCATCATTTCTGCATTATTAATTCCTTTTCTAGCGTAAGCCAACTTATTTGCCTGCTTATCTCCGCCAACATCCTTTTGGTCGGTGCGCGCTTAATGGGGAGCTGCGGCCAGCAATCTGGGGAGTAGGGTGGTCAAGACCAGCTTCAGATCCCAGATCCTACACTGAAAATTATTGTACTACTGAACTGCCAAAACCCATTACATTACTTATCTAAAAGCCTATAAAGGAATTCATATGCGAAAACCATTTGAATTTTATACTTTGGTGAATGATTGTTTTTTGTCACCTGCTACTCGATGGTTTACCAAAAGGTGATTCAAATTCCCACTTCCTAGTCTCATAATTTTGCCAATTTTAGTTTGATTTCAAAGTGGCATACGTCTTTGTATCGTATCCTTTAAGAAAATGCACTCAAACTTTTCCATTTTCCGATGGTCGAATTTTTGACCATTGTTCATATCAGATTTTTCCAAGTTTTCTAATTTTTTTTGGCAATATGAGACCTAATTCTGAAGGCCCACATTCCATAACTTTGCCAATTTTAGTCCGATTCCAAAGCGGCATATCCTTAAATATTTGAAATTGCATCCTTGAAGAAACTGCATTAAAGTTTTCAATTTTCAAATGGTCGATATTTTGACCCCTGTTCAGTCAAATTTTTTTAAGTAGTTGATGGCTCCGGTTTGAGTTCGATTTCCAATTGGCATATCCCCAAACATTTAACCAATAGCTATGTTATTTTTTTCTGTGCAGATCCCAATGCAGCTGCAAAGTCCGAGTGGCCAGTTGAGGTTGTTGTTGCCGGTAGCGTTTTGCGATCGCCGGACAAGCGAAACGAGAGCAGAACTCGTCTAGTCTGCGCGGGGGGACAAGTTGATTTATTCTAATCTGTATAAGCGTTGCTATAATAAAGCAAAAGAGCCCACGGAGAGTGGACAATGCTCGCCAGCGGCTTTTGGCCAAGTTCGAAAGAACGAAAGGCTAAATTGCCGATCGAAGTGGTGGGGTGAAAGAGAACTGGCGATTCAGGTTTCGAGTTGTGAGCTTCAGCAATCCCTAACCATTGTGTGTGCCTGCCGAGGCAGCATTGTAATTGGATTTGAGCCGCCGGTGCAGTCGCAGCTGCAGATTCTAATAATGACTCAGCGGCAGAAAGGAGTCTTTTGGAGTCTTTGGAGTCTCCGTATCCTGTCCCATTGTTCTTGATTTGGCCCGGGGGCTCTTGGCCAGAGCCTTTCACCGCCACTAATGCACTCCCCGGCCATCGAAATGAAGATGCATGCGCTAATTTATCGACTCTCGACGTGAAGGTAGCTCCAGACATGCAAAATGTCGCCGGCCAAGAATGTTATCTACGCCCAGCGTCGCCGAAAGTGTCGCTCCAAAGACAAGGGACATTGCTTGAGGAGCTGTTCGGGGTCGGAGGATCCAGCAGGGGGAGTGGAGTACAAAGGCGATGATAGCCAGAAGGAGAAGGCTAAGGCACAGGCGGAGGCGTCAATGGGTTCGAGTGGTAGCAGCCGCCAGCAACACCCACTTCGATGCGATGTTCTTATCGCTTTTATACTGTACAACTTTAAACATCAAAAAGGTAACATTACTTGGCTGTAGAACTTGTTTTGTAAGGAAAAAGAATTTATAAACAAAGCTCTTAAATCAGAAAAAATATAAACAAACATATTATTTTTGGTCCTACTTAATCCTAATTACAAAAATATAATACAACATAATATATTTGAAACTACTTTATTTAAACTCCTTTCATCTTCAAGAATTATAATTATATTCTATGCAATTTATGAAACCATGTTCATAGTTCCTTCGGATTTATCATATAACCCTTTTCAATCCCCTAATTGAACAGATTCTCTAGCCAATTAAAGTGTATCCAAGATTCATCCGATCTCTGCGGCTGGCTGCGCATTGTTTTCGCCGTCTTCGCAGTGCGTTTTATTCAAATTTGAACATGGTGCTAACACGCAAGGAGCAGCCAAGTGGGAGGATTGCGATGAGGATGAGCAGCAGGATTAGGGGGAGGAGGAAAGAGGGAGGAGCGGTCTGTAGGCGGTGGCCAAATCACGTAATGCGCCATGCAAACATTGTTAAAACACTTGTGGCCCAAGCTAAGGCACTCTACTCCTCTTCACTGCCACTTCACTTGATTTTATTTTCGCGCAAATTTGCATTTTCAATTCTTATTCGCTATCGCAACGTTCTCTCAGAAAATAACAAAAAAAAAATTAAGATAGGAAGGGGAAAACAGCAGTGGCGAGGAGTTTGCGTTTATTTAAATTTATTTTCCTAGAATGCCACAAGTCGCCATCTCAGTCGCATCGATGTGCAATTTGTTTGTCGCCCCGGCGAAGACTCCGAAAACTGCATCCGCTCCCTGCCAGCCAGTCTGACTTCAGTGGGTCTGTCCATCTGTCTGGGCACCCAAGTTCCCGACTTTCAGCCCGGCAGTCCTGCCGGAGTAGCCTCAG